AAACTAACAAAATTCCCAGGCTAACACTGAGTCTGTATTGAAATTTTTCTAGTTATCCCAAAAAAATCTTTTGTAGTTAGTGTGTTCTACTCAGGACCCAAACAAGGTGCACATCCTGCGTTTGCTTGTTTGGTGTCGTAAGTCTCTGATTCGTGAGCAGCCACTGACTTGCCTTAAACACTAGGTCAGCCGTCGCCTATCAGGATGTCTAACATTCTAGATCTGCTATCATGCTTCCTCGGGGTGTCACTCAACTCGTTCCTCTATCCTCCAAAGGTTCTGTCAATGGGGAATGAGCTGAAAGGCTTGACTAAAGCTCGGCTTTCCTGGACGAGTACTTCACAGGTGGGGCTGTGCCTTCCCCATGGCAACAGGGGGGGCTCTCCTAGAGCTGACCGTGTGCAGATGCCTGTTTGGCTGGTCAAAGCCTGACCCTGCCCAGGCAGAGTTCCCCTTTCATCTCATGATTTCAAACACTCATGATTTTTGCCTTATCCATATTTCACTGGGCAGTCACAAAATATCCTACCATTTGGCCCCATTTACTAGCTGGAATTCTTCTCAGAAGAATTTACCTTCCTTGTCACCACCAAAGGCAACCAAAGTATTGTTTCTGTTTCTGTTTGTGGGGAGGGCTTGTTTTTAGTTTCATAATGGAATGCATTGGCTTTTGAATATTCAATGTGGTTCCGTCAATTACATTCATTACTCTTTTCAATGCTCACATTGTCCCAAGCTGTCATTTTGGCTCTTGCTTTCTTCAGACATGACCCCACAGTCTTCAATAGCTTCCCCGTGAACAGTACCAACCGTTGCCCCAGGGAAGTATCACATAATCCAGTGGGGCTCTGCACGACAGTGTGCTTACTGTGTGGAGTTACCAGAGAGCGGATGGTCCTTCCTTACTCTAAGGGGGCCTCTGGACTATTGACACAAGGCACAGACAGGAGATACTGTAGCCTAAATCCTAAAGCAAGGAAAGACACTGACAGTCAATTGCCCTATTTCTAGTTTCCTTCTACTGCATTAACTTTTTCTTACTGTATTTATGCTTCATAATTAAACTAAATGACAACGAGAATATGTTACCAGGTCATGTAACTTTTGTTTGTATCATATAATTTCCTTGGTATACACCAATGACACAATCAACAATTTATAAATACACCACAACTAAGTGAGATCGGTCACCTATAAATCCATGTTTTAAAATTCTCCACACAGTATGAACACTGTTGTGCTGAGCCCCACTGGATTATGTGATACTTTTCTGGGGCAGCGGTCAGTACTGTTCACGGGGAAACTGTTGAAGACTGTGGGGTCACGTCTGAAGAAAGCAAGAGCCAAAATGACAGGTAGGACAATATGAGCATTAAAAAGAGTAATGAATGTAATTGACGGAAACACACTGAATATACAAAAGCCAATGTATTCCATTATGAAACTAAAAACAAGCCCTCCCCAGTAAGGATCACCACCATCCAAAAGACAAACGACAACAAATGTTGGTGAGGACGTCCGCCCACAAACCCACTTACCTCAACAGGAACCGGAGCAGGGACACGGCCACGACAAGCGCAATACCGACAAGGAGCGCGGTGGTCACAGCTGTGAAAAGAAAAGTTACAACCACGTCATCCGAGGCCTCAAAGCTGTCACATCATTGCATTTCATCTGTAAATGAAAAATGCAAACAAATCAACATGACAACAAATGAGGGAAAAGCCTGTATATTTTGTGCTAATTTTCCTATAAACAGAACACTCTTCATGAGGGAGTGCAATTTTCACAATGAGACAGACTCAAAAGTACAGAGAACTGTTAAGCTCACATTTCCCATTAGATGATTCCAGATTTAAGAAATCTAGATTCTACAATTCTAGAAATTTTCAAGATTCTACAATGATGAGGAGATTGTCACTCTTGCTTCATCTATTACTACTCTCTCCTGTTCTTTTGCCTCAGGTTTTTTTTCACTGAAGTACAGTTGACATATGATAACACACTAGTTTCAGGTGTACAAGGCAGTGATTCAACAATTATATACTTGATCACCTGAGTATTTTTAAACAAACCCCAGACATGTCATTTCCTCCCAGCATGTATCTCTACAGCACAGGGATCATGAAACTCCTGACATGACCACTGGGGAGGGCTCATCACCTCTGGCAATCTACCAAAAATACATAACCTCTCCCTGGTTGTGAGAACACAGCAAGAAGTCCAAGTAAAATCCTCCTCTTTGAAAGTGTCATGGTCACAAAAGACAGAGAGACTGAAGAAACTGCCCTTGATTAGAGGAGGCTAATGAGACTGACAATTAAATGCACCATGGGGTCCTGGGGTGGATCCTGGGCCAGAAGAAGGACAGTGGAAGAGACAAATAGGGGAATCTCAGGAGACTAATGATCAGATAACAACACTGTATCAATGTTAAGTTCATTGTTTCGATAACTGTATATGGGATGTACTATGATTATATAGTTGAGAGGTTTAGGAGAAGCTGGGTGAAAGGCATATGGGGACACTTTGTGCAGTGTTTCCATGAGTCTGAAACTATTTCACAATTACACATTTCTTAAAAATGGGCCTTTTCTTAGATAAGCATAAAACTTAATGTCATAAAAACTAACAAAATTCCCAGGCTAACACTGAGTCTGTATTGAAATTTTTCTAGTTATCCCAAAAAAATCTTTTGTAGTTAGTGTGTTCTACTCAGGACCCAAACAAGGTGCACATCCTGCGTTTGCTTGTTTGGTGTCGTAAGTCTCTGATTCGTGAGCAGCCACTGACTTGCCTTAAACACTAGGTCAGCCGTCGCCTATCAGGACGTCTAACATTCTAGATCTGCTATCATGCTTCCTCGGGGTGTCACTCAACTCGTTCCTCTATCCTCCAAAGGTTCTGTCAATGGGGAATGAGCTGAAAGGCTTGACTAAAGCTCGGCTTTCCTGGACGAGTACTTCACAGGTGGGGCTGTGCCTTCCCCATGGCAACAGGGGGGGCTCTCCTAGAGCTGACCGTGTGCAGATGCCTGTTTGGCTGGTCAAAGCCTGACCCTGCCCAGGCAGAGTTCCCCTTTCATCTCATGATTTCAAACACTCATGATTTTTGCCTTATCCATATTTCACTGGGCAGTCACAAAATATCCTACCATTTGGCCCCATTTACTAGCTGGAATTCTTCTCAGAAGAATTTACCTTCCTTGTCACCACCAAAGGCAACCAAAGTATTGTTTCTGTTTCTGTTTGTGGGGAGGGCTTGTTTTTAGTTTCATAATGGAATGCATTGGCTTTTGAATATTCAATGTGGTTCCGTCAATTACATTCATTACTCTTTTCAATGCTCACATTGTCCCAAGCTGTCATTTTGGCTCTTGCTTTCTTCAGACATGACCCCACAGTCTTCAATAGCTTCCCCGTGAACAGTACCAACCGTTGCCCCAGGGAAGTATCACATAATCCAGTGGGGCTCTGCACGACAGTGTGCTTACTGTGTGGAGTTACCAGAGAGCGGATGGTCCTTCCTTACTCTAAGGGGGCCTCTGGACTATTGACACAAGGCACAGACAGGAGATACTGTAGCCTAAATCCTAAAGCAAGGAAAGACACTGACCGTCAATTGCCCTATTTCTAGTTTCCTTCTACTGCATTAACTTTTTCTTACTGTATTTATGCTTCATAATTAAACTAAATGACAACGAGAATATGTTACCAGGTCATGTAACTTTTGTTTGTATCATATAATTTCCTTGGTATACACCAATGACACAATCAACAATTTATAAATACACCACAACTAAGTGAGATCGGTCACCTATAAATCCATGTTTTAAAATTCTCCACACAGTATGAACACTGTTGTGCTGAGCCCCACTGGATTATGTGATACTTTTCTGGGGCAGCGGTCAGTACTGTTCACGGGGAAACTGTTGAAGACTGTGGGGTCACGTCTGAAGAAAGCAAGAGCCAAAATGACAGGTAGGACAATATGAGCATTAAAAAGAGTAATGAATGTAATTGACGGAAACACACTGAATATACAAAAGCCAATGTATTCCATTATGAAACTAAAAACAAGCCCTCCCCAGTAAGGATCACCACCATCCAAAAGACAAACGACAACAAATGTTGGTGAGGTTGTGGAGAAAGGGGAACCCTCCTACACTGTTGGTGGGAATGAAAATTAGTTCAGCCATTGTAGAAAGCAGTATGCAGGTTCCTCAAAATGCTTAAAATAGAAATACCATTTGACCCAGGAATTCCACTTCTAGGAATTTACCCTAAGAATGCAGCAGCCTGGTTTGAAAAAGACAGATGCACCCCTATGTTTATCGCAGCACTATTTACAATAGCCAAGAAATAGAAGCAACCTAAATGTCCATCAGTAGATGAATGGATAAAGAAGATGTGGTACATATACACAATGGAATATTATTCAGCCATAAGAAGAACACAAATCCTACCATTTGCAACAACATGGATGGAGCTAGAGGGTATTGTGCTCAGTGAAATAAGCCAGGCAGAGAAAGACAAGTACCAAATGATTTCACTCATATGTGGAGTATAAGAGCAAAGAAAAACTGAAGGAACAAAACAGCAGCAGAATCACAGAACCCATGAATGGACTAACAGTTACCAAAGGGAAAGGAACTGGGGAGGATGGGTGGGAAGGGAATGATAAGGGCGGGGAAAAAGAAAGGGGGCATTACAATTAGCATGTATAATGTGGGGGATTACGGGGCGAGCTCTACAACACAGAGAAGACAAGCAGTGATTTTACAGCATCTTACTATGCTGATGGACAGTGACTGTGAAGGGGTATGTGGGGGGGACTTGGTGAAGGGGGCAGCCTAGTAAACATAATGTTCTTTATGTAATTGTAGATTAATGATACCAAAATAAAAAATAAAATAAAATAAAAAAATAAAAACAAGCCCTCCCCACAAACAGAATGTCGCAAACAGTACTGAAAAACTACAACCCCTGAAAACACAAATTAAAAAAATCAACAAAGAGCATGTACGTACGAAGGTTGCTGTCAATGGGGTTCTTATTGACAACTATGTCACAAGCGAATTCACTGGCTTCACTGTGGACACGCTTGACCAAGAGAGAATAGTTGCCAAATTCTCCAAATTTGTATTCCAGCCTACAAAGATTACGTAAAAATCGAGAAAAATGGTTAAACAGGAAACAAGGAGTTGGATTTTGGTAATGGCATCAAGGCAGAGTAACAAGCATTCCTGAGTGCAAACCAGGAAAGACACAGGGAAATATTTTGAAGGAAGAAAAAGCTAAAAACCAAACAGGAAAAAAGGTAGACAGACAATGCAGACCTCAGTAGGTCGCATCAAAGCAGGTACAAACCTACAAATCTCTTTGTTTTCCCATGTGTCATTGAGCTGCAGGATGGATCCGTGCTGGGTGCTCACGACAATGGCTGCAACGTGAGACTTCCCAGGTGATCCACTCCAGGAAACATTGACCAGAGCCTGAAGCAGGCACTGCAAAACAAAAGCACAAGTCAGGTGTTAGAGGTGTCTGAGAGCCTGTTGGTTGCTGGGGGATAGGAGCGTCCACCTGAAGCTCTTAAGAGGACTTTTCCTTCACACCTATAAAAACACCTTCTAATTCCAATTATTTACATAAAATTTCCCTGTGTGACTATGTGTTGCTATGAAACTGTACAATTTGTACTCATAACTAAACTTTTCACATGTTAACAGCATACACAAAATCTTGCATTCTGTTACTTAATATTAAACAAATTTCTGTGATTCTACCCTATTTGGATATTTATAATTTTTAACGGTTGTATTATATTCCATCAAACTCTATAATTATGAATAGGCTGCTTTAAAGTTTGGTCATATCTTTTTGTATATAACTTATATTTTCAAATATATATAATTATGTAATATATAATATGTATTTATTACTTACATTCTAAACAATTTACACAAATTATATTGTCTTCAAAGCTCTACACATGTTATTTTTTTCAATTCCCTACGTAAAATAAATTTCCAAAAACAAGATTACTGGATAAAACAGTCATTTTAATGGCTCCTGTTACACACGGCCAAACAGACCTCAAATAAGAAAAACTACAACAGTGTATTTATTTCTTGTTAGCCTTACCAGGATTTAAAAATCATTCTTCTTTTTGTTCATATACTAGGTGTTTATGATAACTACAGCATTGAGATTGCACTTCAAATTATCAGATTAAATATTCATTATAATTTCCCACTTTCTGTTTCCTGTGGTGTTAACCATTAAACACCAAATTCCCTTGAACATAATCTTAGAAACATGTCCTAATATACTGGAATTAAACTTTTTTTGGGGGGGGGAACCCTAGAAATTTTTATTTTGAGGTATATACATGTTTAGCCAAACTGAATAGCTTTAATGTTTAAAAAAAATTTCTGCAACTTTAAGAATACTGTATGTACAATTTTCTGTTTTACTTGTGGACCCAATCAACTTTCTTGGAAATTTAAAAATTTAGGTTTTCTAGTCCTTGGCCAGAATATAGGAAAAATAAATCTTCCCTTAGAAAGTGTCCTAGAACTATTAGATTGTTGTTAAATATCTCTATTCAAATGTGCTTCATGACTAAAACCTGACGCCACCTTAAGGTTTTGATTTCTTTTTAATATGTCTACTTGAAAGTATCTCATTTTAAAATGTTTTGCTTGGCGGAGCCAGGATGGCAGCGTGAGTAGAGCAGTGGAAATCTCCTCCCCAAAATACATAAGCTATGAAAATATAACAAAGAAAACTCTTCCTAAAATAGAGACCAGAGGACACAGGACAACATCCAGACCACATCCACACCTGCAAGAACCCAACGCCTTGTGAAAGGGGTAAGATACATGCCCCCGCCCGGTGGGACACGAGCACCCCTCCCCCTGGCTCCCGGCGGGTGGAAAGAAACCGGAGCAGTTTTTTTTTTTGCG